GCACCCATCACTCTCCTTCTTGGTCAAATAGCCCTTACACAGCCTGGAGGTGTGTTGGGTCATTGTCCTGTTGAAAAACAAATGGTAGTCCCACTAAGCGCAAACCAGATGGGATGGCGTATCACTGCAGAATGCTGTGGTAGCCATGCTGGTTAAGTGTGCCTTGAATTCTAAATAAATCACAGACAGTGTCACCAGCAAAGCACCCCCACACCATCACACCTCCTCTTCCATGCTTCACGGTGGGAACCACACATGCGGAGATCATCCGTTCACCTACTCTGCGTCTCACAAAGACACGGCGGTTGGAACCAAAAATCTCAAATTTGGACTCATCAGACCAAAGGACAGATGTCCATTGCTCGTGTTTCTTGGCCCAAGCAAGTCTCTTCTTCTTATTGGTTTCTTTGCAGCAATTCGACCATGAAGGCCTGATTCACGCAGTCTTCTCTGAACAGTTGATGTTGAGATGTGTCTGTTACTTGAACTCTGTGAAGCATTTATTTGGGCTGCAATCTGAGGTGCAGTTAACTCTAATGAACTTATCCTCTGCAGCAGAGGTAACTCTGGGTCTTCCATTCCTGTGACGGTCCTCATGAGAGCCAGTTTCATCATAGCGCTTGATGGTTTTTGCGACTGCACTTGAAGAAACTTTGAAAGTTCTTAACATTTTCCGGATTGACTGACCTTCATGTCTTAAAGTAATGATGGACTGTTGTTTCTCTTTGCTTATTTGAGCTGTTCTTGCCATAATATGGACTTGGTCATTTACCAAATAGGGCTATCTTCTGCATATCACCCCTACCTTGTCACAATACAACTGATTGGCGCAAACGCATTAAGAAGGAAAGAAATTCCACAAATTAACTTTTAAGGAGGCACACCTGTTAATTGGAATGCATTCCAGGTGACTACCTCATGAAGCTGGTTGAGAGAATGCCAAGAGTGTGCAAAGCTGTCATCAAGGCAAAGGGTGGCTACTTGAAGAATCTCAAATATTAAATATATTTTGATTTGTTTAACATTTTTTTGGTTACTACATGATTCCATATGTGTTATTTCATAGTTTTGATGTCTTCACTATTATTATACAATGTAGAAAATAGTAAAAATAAAGAAAAACCCTTGAATGAGTAGGTGTGTCCAAACTTTTGACTGGTACTGTATGTTAACATTGCCAAAGCAAGTGGAATAGATAATAAACAAAAGTGAAATAAATAATAAATATTAACAGTAAACATTACACTCAGAAGTTCCAAAAGAATAAAGACATTTCAAATGTCATATTATGTCTATATACAGTGTTGTAACAATGTAAAAATAGTTAAAGTACAAATGGGAAAATAAATCAACATAAATATGGGTTGTATTTACAATTGTGTTTGTTCTTCACTGGTTGCCCTTTTCTTGTGGCAAAAGGTCACAAATCTTGCTGCTGTGATGCACACTGTGGTATTTCACCAAATAGATATGGGAGTTTATCAAAATTGGATTTGTTTTCGAATTCTTTGTGGATCTGTGTAATCTGAGGGAAATATGCGTCTCTAATATGGTCATACATTTGGCAGGAGGTTAGGAAGTGCAGCTCAGTTTCCACCTCATTTTGTGGGCAGTGTGCACATAGCCTGTCTTCTCTTGAGAGACAGGTCTGCCTACTGCGGCTTTTCTCAATAGCAAGGCTATGCTCACTGAGTCTGTACATAGTCAAAGATTTCCTTAAGTTTGGGTCAGTCACAGTGGTCAGGTATTCTGCCACTGTGTACTCTCTGTTTAGGGCCAAATAGCATTCTAGTTTGCTCTGTTTTTTTGTTAATTCTTTCCAATGTGTCAAGTAATTATCTTTTTGTTTTCTCATGATTTGGTTGGGTCTAATTGTGTTGTTGTTGTTGTCCTGGGGCTCTGTGGGGTCTGTTTGTGTTTGTGAACAGAGCCCCAGGACCAGCTTGCTTAGGGGACTCTTCTCCAGGTTCATATCTCTGTAGGTGATGGCTTTGTTATGGAAGGTTTGGGAATAGCTTCCTTTTAGGTGGTTGTAGAATTTAACGACTCTTTTCTGGATTTTGATAATTAGTGGGTATCGCCCTAATTCTGCTCTGCATGCATTATTTGGTGTTTTATGTTGTACACAGAGGATATTTATATGGTCTCAATATGGTGTTTGTCCCATTTAGTGAATTCTCCCTCTCTAAAAGGGCTTCTCTCTCTCTCTCTCTAAAAGGGCTTCTCTCGCTCTCTCTAAAGGGGCTTCTCTCGCTCTCTCTAAAAGGGCTTCTCTCGCTCTCTCTAAAAGGGCTTCTCTCGCTCTCTCTAAAAGGGCTTCTCTCGCTCTCTCTAAAATGGCTTCTCGCTCTCTCTAAAATGGCTTCTCTCTCTCTCTAAAATGGCTTCTTGCTCTCTCTAAAAGGGCTTCTCGCTCTCTCTAAAAGGGCTTCTCTCTCTAAGGCCTTCTCTCTCTCTAAGGGCTTCTCTCTCTCTAAGGGCTTCTCTCTCTCTCTAAGGGCTTCTCTCTCTCTCTAAGGGCTTCTCTCTAAGGGCTTCTCTCTCTCTAAGGGCTTCTCTCTCTCTAAAAGGGCTTCTCTCTCTCTAAGGGCTTCTCTCTCTCTAAGGGCTTCTCTCTCTCTAAGGGCTTCTCTCTCTCTAAGGGCTTCTCTCTCTCTAAGGGCTTCTCTCTCTCTAAAAGGAGGCACGTATTACCTACATGATGAGGTTATTATTTACAAAAGAGCAACATTATTTTGTCAAACAGCAGCCAAGCATCAATTATCATGTCACCAGAATAAGACCCTCAATATTTATTGGAAAGGAGCGTCCAGCTCATCACCTTGCACTTTCAGTTCATCATAACTTATTTCATCTGTAGCCTAATAAACTGCACGCTTTCCCAAGTCGTAGTGGGAGGACCACACACCACATCATCGCATGACTCTAAGTTTACTTTATCATATCAATATTTGCGCATAAAAGCGTTTCCACCGACATTAATGGCGTAATTAATTTTACTGACACAAAAAGATCCCACCTTGTATAGCGAATTTTGTTTCTCGACATTTTGAAAAGTTTACAGAAAATGTTTGTTTCCATCAGGCCTGTCATTTTTTTATCCGACATGTACTTTACTGGCATGAAAAGGTAGGATGGAAAGCTGGTTAGAGAGTGATGCATAACCAAGAGGAAAACCCCTGATGCATAACCAAGAGGAAAACCCCTGATGCATAACCAAGTTTACAAATTGCACCTTGTGTATTCTACTATTCTAACTCTCAACAGTAAGTTGAGACACCGACTGAGTTCCTAAAAAAAAAATTCAAACGAGTTTCTCATATGTAGCTACGGCCCCGATTACCTCTGTATCTGCAGGTCAAACTTGACAGACGTGTCCTGCTCTGAGAGCTGGTGAACGCTGAAGCGCAGACCGGCCAGCACCTGAAGACGACATCACACCACAACATCAGGATCACTGTGAGTCACTCTGATCAGAGTCACCTTTATTCACCCAAGTACACTCCACCAGGACCTGGTGACGTCTAGGTGTCTCAACACCGTCATGGAAATAAGACTCCCTGGAACAGGCATCTCTATTCAGGTCAACGGGACTGTCACCATCTTCGCTCTCCGTCCACTCACCTTAGTTCCTCCTTTCATGGGGTTCCCCAGGTCACACACTACCACCCTGGTCTGGTTCTCGGTCTTATAGGCACAGGACAGTCTAGACAGTGTCTGGAAGGGACAAATACATTTGGGTTTTCTAAAAGGTTGACTGGTGCAATGCATCTGTTCCATCATCATAACATCACCGTTGTGTTGTTTTGGACAAACAAACATGTCTCATTAGTATTTTCCCCACCAGGATTCCTTCAGAGAACCAATTCTAGTGGATAATGTCTATGTCAATCAAATGAGTAACTTAGCCACCATTCCTGTCCAGCACCCACCTGGGGGAATACAGAGGAGGAACACAATGTAGACATGTATCATTACCATTACACTTCATGAGGGGAGTTTATGCCTCACTGTTGTGTACCACCTACCCATCTATTACCATTACACTTCATGAGGGGAGTTTTTACCTCACTGTTGCGTACGACTCCAGTGAAGTCGGCCTGGGGAGGAAGGAAGACATGTAGCTCTGCCTCGTACGCCCCCTCTCCTCTGTTCTCCGCTGTCACCTCCAGGGTCAAGGGGTTATCATCTCCAATGTAGATCTCCTTCTGGTCACTACGTGGTATAAAGACAATTAATGGAAAAGATCTAGACTCGGCTAAAACAATGTCACTGTGGGAAAACAATCTCACTGATGCCGGATCCACACTTTCAGGCCAACCAGAACCACACTGTTCTGGTTCGGATATGTTCTCTTCTCATTGTACTTTCCAGTTCGGTTCCAACAACTATGGTGGATGTGTAAACGGGCCAGTACAGCTCGGCTAGCTATGTTAGGTTACATGAGATACTGAAGGAGGAGAACTCACCTCACTACAGACAGCTGGAGGTCTGGCTTGCAGATGTTGTCATCTCCACAGTCCAGTAGGATATGGGCCTGAAAAACATTGCCACAAGTAGACAGTTTGTTTACCCAACAAACTTAACCCATCCCTCACCACTCAACCAGAGGAGGCTCCTCGGAGGAGGAAGGGGAGGTCCATCCTACTCAGTGAATTTCATTAAAAATAGTGAAACATTAAAAAAGTTTTCATTTTTAGATAAAACTATACTAAATATATTAACGTCACCAAATAACTGATTAAAACACACTGTTTTACAATGAAGGTCTACAGTAGCCTCAACAGCACTCTGTAGGGTAGCACCATGGTGTAGCCGGAGGACAGCTAGTTTCCGTCCTCCTCTTGGTACATTGACTTCAATACAAAACCTAGGAGGCTCATGGTTCTCACCCCATTCCATAGACTTTTATGACAACTTCCGGAGGCCTTCCACTAACCTATCAGAGCTCTAGCAGCATGAACTGACGTTGTCCACCCAATCAAAGGATCAGATAATTAATCTAGTACTGAAAGCATAAGCTACAGCTAGCTAGCACTGCAGTGCATAAAATGTGATGAGTAGTTGACTCAAAGAGAGATAAAGACAACAGTTGAACAGTTGAAAAATTAATTTCTACCAAAATTAAGGAGAAGCAGCAGAGCGAGAGAGAGAGCTATATTTCGTTGTATATTTTTTTCTTCTTAGTTTACCTTTCACTTACTTAGCTAATGCAGCTAATTTAGCTTACTCAACAACCTGACTCAAACAGAGAGGAATGCTATTGATGTTAGCTAGCTGGTTAAGGCTATCCAACACAGGAACTCTTCCAAATTAAGGTAAGCTTTTGGTTTTATTAATTTTTAGCCATGTAACTGCTAAACTGCTTGCTGTACACTGTACTGCGTGATTGTACACATGGATTTGATTGTGGGTTTAGTTCTACTTTGTTGACTATAAAGTCACTATGGTGATAATGATGTAGTGGTTAGCGGTTATGGTATGAAGGTTTGGCTTGGAGAGGTTAGCGGTTATGGTATGAAGGTTTGGCTTGGAGAGGTTAGCGGTTATGGTATGAAGGTTTGGCTTGGAGAGGTTAGTGGTTATGGTATGAAGGTTTGGCTTGGAGAGGTTAGCAGTTATGGTATGAAGGTTTGGCTTGGAGAGGTTAGCGGTTATGGTATGAAGGTTTGGCTTGGAGAGGTTAGTGGTTATGGTATGAAGGTTTGACTTAGAGGTGTTTGTGCCTGGTCACATACAGCTGAAGGGAAAAGGTGAGCGGAGGAGACCGTGTAGATGTGACAAGGAATTACACAACGAGGAAAGTGATGACGCTGTTTGTATGTGGCTGCTATGAAAGTCAACTGTGTGTGCGGATGATCAGGGGTGTATTCATTCTGCCGATTCTGTTGCAAAATGTTTCTTAAACGGAAGCAAACGGAACAGAACGGGGAAGGACCTACCTGAATTTGTCCTGTTTGGACTAATGATTACACCCCAGAGCAGCTAGATGAAGGCAAGAGTGTGCAAGGTGGTATTGAATGTGTCACTGTCTGTCACCTCTATTACTCCAATTTGTCTCTCGACATGAGCACCTACATTATAAACTTTAATTTGTAGGCTAGGTTGTAGCAACCTCATGATGGGTACAGGAAAATTTTGAGTATCATGTAGTAGCCTAAACCTATCGATGTTACATTGAGCTGGTTGAATGGAATATGAATGACAGTCATCCAATATGCTGTAATAGAAATAAGGCCATACTTATATATATAAAAATAAAAAATATCGTCCTCCCTAATCTTGAATGGCACCAACCGCCACTGAACTCAACATGTTACTCTATACCTGATCACAACAGTCAGGGTGCTTTACCTAAGGCTACGTCCCAAACGTTACCTAAGGCTACGTCCCAAACGTTACCTAAGGCTACGCCCCAAACGTTACCTAAGGCTACGTCCCAAACGTTACCCAAGGCTACGCCCCAAACGTTACCTAAGGCTACGTCCCAAACGTTACCTAAGGCTACGTCCCAAACTTTACCTAAGGCTACGTCCCAAACTTTACCTAAGGCTACGTCCCAAACTTTACCTAAGGCTACGTCCCAAACTTTACCTAAGGCTACATCCCAAACGTTACCTAAGGCTACGTCCCAAACGTTACCTAAGTCTACGTCCAAAATTGCACCCTATCTCTATTTGGCGCACTACCTTTGACCAGGACCCATAAGGATCTGATTAAAAGTAGTGCACTATATAGGACATAAGGTGCCATTTGGGACGTAGCCTTAGGTAACGTTTGGGGCGTAGCCTTAGGTCACGTTTGGGACGTAGCCTTAGGTCACGTTTGGGACGTAGCCTTAGGTAACGTTTGGGACGTAGCCTTAGGTAACGTTTGGGACGTAGCCTTAGGTAACGTTTGGGACGTAGCCTTAGGTAACGTTGGGACGTAGCCTTAGGTAACGTTTGGGACGTAGCCTTAGGTAACGTTTGGGACGTAGCCTTAGGTAACGTTTGGGACGTAGCCTTAGCTTAGGTAACGTTTGGGACGTAGCCTTAGGTAACGTTTGGGACGTAGCCTTAGGTAACGTTTGGGACGTAGCCTTAGGTCACGTTTGGGACGTAGCCTTAGGTAACGTTTGGGACGTAGCCTTAGGTAACGTTTGGGACGTAGCCTTAGGTAACGTTTGGGACGTAGCCTTAGGTAACGTTTGGGACGTAGCCTTAGGTCACGTTTGGGACGTAGCCTTAGGTCACGTTTGGGACGTAGCCTTAGGTCACGTTTGGGACGTAGCCTTAGGTCACGTTTGGGACGTAGCCTTAGGTAACGTTTGGGACGTAGCCTTAGGTAAAGCTTGGGACGTAGCCTTAGGTAAAGCTTGGGACGTAGCCTTAGGTAAAGCTTGGGACGTAGCCTTAGGTAAAGAGGTTTAGGTACCTGTTTGGAGATGTTGGTGGGGGTAGTCTGGTCCAGGATAGGCAGTAGGCCGGTCTTATCTGCAGCCTGCTGGTAGTCCAGAGT